GAGCGCCGCTCAGCTGACCGAGGGGCGCCAGATGCAGGGCTCATGGCTGGCCGCTGCAGCCTGGAGACCGCAGTGGAGCAGCAGCGAGCCTACAGAGCGGTGGCAGCAGGTGCAGTGGGGCCAGGATGAGCAGAAGCAGCAGGTAGGAGCAGCAGGTGGAGTCAGACAGCCAGTTTCAGCCCGATCCCCGCAGGCCATGCCAAGGGACCCCACCAGTGCACGAATCCGTGCACCGGGCCTCTAGTTTATTATATAAGACAGAATTCCCCTGTTCTAGTTTCTCTGCCTATTAAAGTTGTCACCTACAAATTACTGCCTGGAATACTTTCTAAATAAAAAAAAAAAAAAACCTCAAAATCTATTATAACTTCATAATATCAGCTGCCAAGCAAAAACACTAGTTTCATATACCACTATTCTTTGAAGTTCCTTTTGAGATTACATGTTAGAAATAATAAGGATAGCAATTACTTATGTCATACCTACTATGTGTCATTTAATATGCAAACACCTATGAGTTGTATATTAATTATTATCCCCGATTTACAAAGGAGGGAACTGAGGCAGAGAGTTCAAGGTCACAAGACTAAGAAGAGAAACCAGGGATTCAAATCCAAACATTCTGGTCAGAATCAGTGCTTTTAACCTTCATGCTAAGCCAGTACTGAGAAATTCTACAATTCAATATGACAATCATAAAGTTTGCCAGCCGGAGGAATTTTAAATACCAATTCCTCTACCAATCTACTCGGGGCACAGAGTGGTATTAATTTAACAAATTTCTATGATTTTTTAGGAACAATTAACTTCATGTTTCATTCCATTTAAAGCAAACAAAACCTCTCTCTGAAATTTCTCTTTCTGGCAAGAGCTAAACCTTCACCAAAACACACTGGTACTTTCTACATTTCAGACCCTCTCGTCACAATATTATTAAAAAAAACACACACACACAGGGGATAATGTGATCATATTTCAGCTTTATGCTTCAGTCTCTAACATTAGTCCTGAGTCTATTTTTAGATAAGACTCTCTAATGATGCAGAAGACTTCTTGAGAAAAATAAAGATTCTAGAATATACAGATTCTAGAATAGTTTAAAAGCAGTAAAAATAAAGTAATTTAGAGACTAAAATGTCAGGAGCCAAGAGAGAGCTGTGCAGAGCATATCGAGATGAAAGGAAATGAAGGCAGAGGAGGAGAAGCGACAACACAGAGACCCAGATACTCTAGGAGCACATCGAGTGTAGCCAGCAGCTCCCTACCTACCTATGTGTACAAAAGTAATTGCACGTAAGCAATGACATGTCAATTCTGGTGGCATTAACTTGTTATCTGTAAAAATACAAATGCATTAATATGTCATACTTTGAAAATAGAAAAAAAATGTTTAAAAATTTAGCTTTCCGATTTTGTGAAGACTTGGATATTTAGAGTTTTTCCCTGGAGTAAGTTAATAACAATAATAATAATAATCTATTATTTCAAGAATAAATCTATTATTTTGAAAGTCCTCCAAGATATTAACCTATATTTAACTTAAAGAGTAGAAGTAACATCATAAGTTCAATGTGTACTCAATTTTAAAATTGTTTAAGAGGCTATTCCAAATAGTCCTCATGCAATATCTGCGGGGAAAAAATCCCAAAATTCAATTAGGAATAGTTAATCATGTTATCTTACTAAACCCTCACAATGACTGAATAATATGGATATATTTCGAAAGTAAGAATGATGATGGGTTTAGCAAATACAATACAGCAGTCTTGTAAGTTACATTCTCCTATGCAGCCCCCAAACAGAATTTTAAAATGCTAAGAATGTGTATGTGACTAAACATTGCCAGAATTTCCAAGCTAGAGATATAACTAGGGCAGCCTTGTGAAATAAATAGGATACTGCCTATACTGTTATTCTGAAGTTCTCAAGTTCTCATTTGAAATCAGACAACAGCTTAAGAATTCAGAAAGTCAGGTTAGAAAACACACAACATAACTCTAGGATATGGAGATCTGTATGTACGTAAATATATAGACATACTATAGCTCCATCTGGATTCAAATACCTCACGACCCACATAACAGAGCCAACAACAACAAAAGCTTTATCAGCCAATAATCTCCCATCCTTTCATTACACATCACTATATTCAGCTCCAAAACCTAGGTGAGAACCTTAGAAAGCACTGAATGTAAGTGTTATGGTCCCTGATTACAAACCACCTGACCTGGTTTGTAATTTACAGATAGCCACAGCCGAATCTGTAAGTATAGTCACATGCCGAACCCACAAGATGGAACTCAAAGGCCTCAAGAACCTACTGGTGAGTGCACAGAGTAAAACAGCGGCTGCCTGCTCAGATGTGCACATTGTGTGGCTCTTGACAGGTTTCCTCTGAAGGTGTCACAGTTTCTTAAGAGGAAATCTAGGGTCTGCGTCCCTAAGGACATGACTGTCTTACCAGAATCCAAACAAATAAATGAAATACTTGTAGCCTTTGAATAATACCACCTACCAAAGCTTAAAGCCAAAGCAGTGTTGCCAAAAATATGAATTCCTTAAGCATCATTAAAAGTCATATAATTCCCCTTAAGAAGGAGTTTTTAGAAACCATTTTACTCTTTCGGTCACACAACAGGAGAACGGAACCTCTCCTTCTGGGGAATGATCAACTTTGGTATCGCCAGGATCCACAGGCCACAGGGGTAACTACATAACGAGTGTCCTCTGTTCTGCGTGCTGAAAATAACTCACGTAAGCATGATGCTCTATCGGTTTCTGAAATTTTTCTTTTACAGAGCACAGCAGATAGATAATACTCATGCTGTCAGTTCGGGGGCTGAATTGAAGTGGCCATCTGGTGCCAGACCACTAGCTGGCTCCTTTCCTATCTTCTCCACTAGGTCAAAAGTTCCGCAAGGGAAGGAATGATTCACCTTTTCCCTTTATCACAGTGTCTAGCATATTCCTGGCACCTAGCAAGCACTCAATCAATAAGTACTGACTCAATGAACTTGTTCAATATGTATCAGATATTTTTACTCCCAAAGTTTTATTTACTTTAAGGCTCTCAATTTTTGCCTATACTGAATGGTTACAAATACCCACCCCACCCTCCCTTTTTTTTTTAATCCTGAGCTGATCTGTCACGATTAACCAATTTTGGTTTACAATAAGGAAATAAAAAACAAGATGCTTATGCTGCTCCAGTCTAAACAGTTTTATTTGGACCAATATCAAGTACAAGTCAAACTTGATATTGCTTGCTATCACATAACCTAACACATACAGACTTGACTTTAAAATATGCTTTTGAATGATGCCTGCTGGGTAAATTAAGTGACTTAGAAGCTTCCTTTATTTACTACATATTATGGTAATAGGCATTCAGCATTCAGGGATTAGTAGGAATCACAAACCTAAGCATAAAGGAAACTTTATTGGCTAGGAATACTTTTAACTAAGAAGATCATATACTCAATAGTGATAATTAGGCCAACATCCTGAGCTTCGTCCAGCATGCTTTACAACATGGGCTGGACCCTACCCTGAGTTACCTGACAGGAGTGGGGTTGAACATAAGAAAACAAGAGAGAAGAGGTATCCACATCAATCCATCGCCATAAGTTTACTCACATGATATACAGATATAATGCCCAGCAATAAAAAGGATGGCAGCTCATTATTAATTTCAGAAAAACAGTTCACGGGCCGCTCAAAAATTATTTCAGGTTCAAGATTTCTTCCACACTCAGGAACCAGCTCAGAGATACTGCACGTATGGTTCCAGACCACCACGATGAAGCAAGTATCAAAATAAAGTGAGCCACACAAATTGTCTCGCTCCCCAGTGCATGTAAAAGTTACTACGTTCACACTATATTGTAGTCTAATAAGCGTGTAATTGCATTAGGTCTAAAAACACATGTACATACCTTAGTGGGAAATATTGTATTGGTAAAAAATGCTAACCATCATCTGAGCCTTTGGAAGGAGCCCATACACCTTCCATTTGCACAGAAGGCGGTATCTGCGAAATGCAATTAAATGGGGTTTGCCCATATTTGGGATTACATTCCTCATTATAATCCCAACAATCTCCACATATCAGTAATAAGTATGGCTACTTATTAGCTTTCTACAATGCTCAACTATGGCTATATGAAGAGTCCTACATGAAACTAATATTAACAAAATCATGGTTAAGCCACCTAAGTAAGTTAAGGTAAAATTACACAGTTTGAGAGCTACATCTTCATCACTCATTTTCAAGGGTCAGTGGGCAAGGGATATAGCCCTTCGGTCCCTCTTCCTGGGGGAATTCTGAGGTCCTGCGGTGGCTGTTTTTTTAATGTAAGACACAGCTAAAAAATACGATCGTCTTTGCGACTGTCTTTCATTACAAATCAGACAGCACACATCCCTGCCAGCAGATTCCCCAGAGCATGCTGGAGGTAGAGCCGCCGGGGGCCCAGTCCCTGAGCTGCTTTTGCAAGTTAGAGGGAGGGGCCGACGAACTACACTGAGTGGCCAGATGATTATGACCACCCCATCAGTACTTCACTGACACTTCCAAATATACTGAATATTGAAAACTTCCTCAGCAAATACTCAAGGTTTTATTATTATTATTATTATTTGCATAACTAATTCACTTCATTGTACTGATGGGGTGGTCATAATAACCTGGCCACTCAGTGGGCATTATGAAGGCGCACATGTGTTCGTGACGTATGTGAAACTCCGGTTTCGCTTTGCAGCTGCACCATGAGCCCAGCCCCGTGACCTGGAAACGCAGCTCACGTTCTGTGACTGCCATGCACGGTCGGCCAATCTGCCCCCTTCCCCGACAGGCCGACAAGTCCTACTTGAAGATGTAGGCAGTGTTTATGGGTCTAAACTCCCCGGCATATCTTTATCTCGGGCAAGACGAGTTAGACAGGAAATCAGTTCTAGCATCAGAGAGATCTGTTCAATGGGTCCAGCGGCAGCAAAGATACCTAATGCCACGGGGTCCGGGTTGACGGGGCTCTGCTGCCGGGAGTGGCTGCTGCTGCTGCTGCCGCCCTTTTTCAAGTCCTCGGCGTCGCTGTACCGCCGGATCCAGTAATTCAGCTCCTCTCGGTCCGCCTCCTGACACCGCCTCAGCACGGTGAGAGAGCGCCGGGTCTTCTCCACCATGTCCATTATGCAGTTTAACAGCTGTGTGGAAAGAGGGAAGAACACCTATGTCAATCACTACAACTTCAAGACTTTGGTGGGTGGTGAAACACACTATTTTAGGACAATGAAGGGCGCTGTTTTAATTCCCGAAGTCTTTAGTCTAATATTTTCAAAAGGTTGGATTTGAAATGGAGACTCAATCGAGGAGTAAACTCAGTGGGAATGAGAACACAGAGTGGGGGGCATGGACAGGAGTCATGACAAAGAGCATACATCACGAAGGTATGCAGCCACCTTTCCAAGTATTAATCCCAACACTGCATCGACCCAGCGAACCTTCCACAATAAAACTATTAGTCTGGTTTTAAGAGCTCCCTTCCAGGCCTAGCCGGTCTGACTCCGTGGATAGAGTGTCAGCCTGCGACTAAAGGGTCCCAGGCTTGATTCTGGTCAAGGGCACATGTCCAGGGTTGCAGGCTTGATCCCCAGTGTGGGGCATGCAGGAGGCAGTCGATCAATGATTCTCTCTGATCATTGATGTTTCTCTCTCTCTAAAATCAATAAAAATATATCATAAAAACAAGAACTCCCTTCCATGATCTAAACATGTCCCTTATGTAAGTGGCTTTGTTATCAATTTAGAAATCAAATCCTATATTGCACTTCAAACATTCTCATTATTTTTTCCAAGGGTAGCAGAAAACATAATGCCTTCAAAGTAGCCCCACACTTTTACTTTATCAGGTAACCGCACTCTAGTTGCTTTCAAAACGTTTAAGCTAAACAATTACCAACATCTTACATGGTCAAGATGTTTCCACTCCTCTGCCCATTCTCTGTCAGTTAGCCTGTGATCAATCATTTCTTCTTGACGTGTGCCATGCAACCCTACAAATACAGAGAAGAAGATTAAATCGTCTTGAAGCATTCAGGACATAAGTCATGTACACACAGTATGAAACAATATTCAACCTTTAAATGGAGACACTCAGATTCAGAATTACCTTAGGCAGGTTCCTCACAGTGATAAAATGTTAGAACCAGAGCCCTAGCCAGTTTGGCTCAGTGGATAGAGCACTGGCCTGCAGACCAATGGGTCCGGGGTTCGATTCCGGTCAAGGACACATACATTGGTTGCAGGCGTCAGCCTGGGCCCTCATTGGGGCACGTGCAGGAGGCAACCAATCGATGTGTTTCTCTCACATCGATGTTTCTGTCTTTCCCTCTCTCTTCCACTCTCCCTAAAAATCAATGGAAAAATATCCTCAGGTGAGAGTGGACAAAAAAAAAAAAAATTAGTTTTTTTAAAAGTTAGGACCAGAAAGAATCTTAGAGGCGATCTGGTCAGAATCCTGTCTTTTACGCACGAGGGAGTAAAGTGACACTAGCCCCTGAGCTAGTTTTCCAAGTTAACCTCCCTTGAGTGAAAATAAAGACAGCAAAAAATCATTCATGGGCAGGAATATGCTTTTCTAAAAACAACATGATAAAAAAGTTTCCACATTTCAGCATGGCATAAATGAGCACACACCTATGACATACACCATACCTCCACAACAGAGTCAGGTCATAAAGAGGGGGCTTACATAGCAGGAAAGCTGCACATACCCACGCAATTCACCAACATACATAGAATGGAAATAAATCGAGCACCCTCCACGGAAAAAATCAATATAGCAGACACAGTTTTGGACAAAGATCATAAATCCAAACCAAGAAACTAAAAAAACCTAACTTGTAGGCCATAGCATATTTGCATCACAGTGAAGATGCTACCATTACAAAAGGAACACATAAATGCTCACCAAGTGAGTAACAACAGCAAAACACATGAGCAGTTCTCAAAGATGCTCATCGAAATAGAAAATAAATGTGTCTCAACAATAGCGAAAATATAAAGCAACCTACGTGTCCATTGATAGATGAATAAAGATGTGATACACACACACACACACAACAGTAAATATGACATATTATGCAGCAATAAAAAATAATTAAATCTTGCCATTTGCAACAACATGGATGAATCTGCAGGGGTGGGGAACCTTGTCTCTGCCAAGGGCCATGGGGTATTTAGAGCACCATCCGAGGGCCATACAGAATTGTCAACTTAAACATTCACCTGCTCTATTTGGTCAAACACTTAATTAATTCACCCCTAATGCCTTGGCAGGGCCAGACCAAATGATTTCTCAGGCCCTACAGGGCCCTTGGGTTGGACGTCCCCCATCCCTGATCTAGAAGGCATTATGCCAAGTAAAATAAGTCAGACAGAGAAAGACAAACCCCATAAGGTTTTGTTTATATGTGGAACATAAAACAAAACAAAACAAAAACAGACTCACAGGAATAGAGACCAAAGGATGGTTACCGGGGGGGCCGGGGGGGCGGGCGGTGTTGAAGGGGAATATTGTCAATAGCAATGTGAATAGTTTGTACACCGACAGACAATTACTAGGATTAGAGGGGTTGTCACTTGTATAAAAGTGCCGGGTCACTATACTGTGCACCTGAAACTAATATAACCAATATAAGGTTGTACACCAACGACACTTACATTTAAAAAATTGAATGAGCCGAAACCGGTTTGGCTCAGTGGATAGAGCGTCGGCCTGCAGACTGAAAGGTCCCAGGTTCGATTCCGGTCAAGGGCATGTACCTTGGTTGCAGGCACATCCCCAGTAGGAGATGTGCAGGAGGCAGCTGATTGATGTTTCTCTCTCATCAATGTTCCTAACTCTCTATCTCTCTCCCTTCCTCTCTGTAAAAAATCAATAAAATATATTTTAAAAAAAAATTGAATACCAAAACAAGTTGTTAAAACACGAAGAAACTGACACAGTTAAACTGGATAACACAATAAAACCTTTTATTTGCACTGCATAGAAAACGTCAGTGAACTATATAAAAAAGAATAGAGTGGGAGGCTCTGGCAGGCCTGGAAAGGGGTTGCTCTTCCTGCAGAGTCATTATGCATACAACACCTTTGGTTCCACTGCAAAGGAAAGGCACCGGGCTATGGAAATTTCCAGTTTAAACAACTGAAACTATTCTTTTTGCTTTAGAAACTCTGAGTAGCAAATTAAGACTGGCATGAATTGGGTTTCTTGCCACCTAGGGTCTTCCTCTGAGGGTACCATGTAAGGGTGCAATCACAATAGAGCTATGAGACACTGCATTACACTTCTGTGAAATCTGAGTGGCTGAAAATCCCCCCTTCTATCTGATTTGGAAAAATAAAGATGAAGAGTCACTTGCCTGTTTTCAGCCAACCATAAAATATGAGTGAATATCAACTATGAACAATGAACAAATGTATGGCAACTTTTTCTCAGACTAACTACAAAGGTAAATATAAAACACTGCACCATTTCTGCCCAATGAGAACATAATCTGAGATATATTTTAAAAGTTAAAATTGCCAATGCCACCTATTGGTAAAACTGTAGAACTGCAAACACGTTGGGGAAAAGTAGCATTTAGCTGTTGCTGTTTGTTGTGACTATTTTAAGTTGAAATGTTTGCAAATGTGTGATTTCTGTTGACTATTTGTTGCCTGTTTCAAAGAAAAAAGCATCACCACTGAAATGAACCATCACAGAAGAGAACGAGAGAGGATGAAGGTATAAAAGTAGCACCGACTTTCACAATGGAGACCTTTAAGAACCAAGAACCCCAGAGATTTCAAAAGTTTCAAAATTCAGCTAAGTCACAAGTTCTAACACATGGAATAATAATAATAAAGCGAAACAGGATGTCTGTGGCTAATGAGATTCCAACATTTGTGGAACAGTATTAAGCTTTATATCATTTCTTTTTTTAAAAAAAGCAAGTGCATTAGAAACATGTTTGAGCCCGAGTACTTGGTGAAAAATGTAGGACTCATTTGCTGCTTTTGAACGCTGAAGGTCATTTGTTAGAGTCAAGTCTTTAAAAAGAAAACATAGCACAACTCAATTTGAATAATGTAAAAATTTTACATTATTTCATTTCTCTATTTCAGATACTTAAATTCTCATCAGCACACAGTTTTTATTTATATTCATAACTAGAGGCCCAATGCACGAAATTTGTGCAAGGGGCTCAGTGCCCACAGCCCCACCCACTGGTCGTCTGGTCTAATTAGCATATTAGCTCTTTATTTTATAGGCTACCAGGGAGATGGACTAGGAGACAGTGGCTCATTGGCATTAAGGAGCACATGTTCATTTGTGGGAAGTTTGACACTAAAGTTGAGTCTTAACCGATCCTTACACTTTGGAAGATTTTAGCTAACCAGGCTAAAACTCTAAGTTTATTTATAACTAATGCTGCCAATAGAGTTATTTTATTAAAGGATTCTAGTGAGTATATGTCCCTACATATAAGAGGCATTTATAAATCATATCGGACTAAGTATAACTTTATGACAATTTTTTTTATCTTCGCCTGAAGTTATGTTTACTGATTTGAGAGAGAAAGGAAGAGAAAGGAAAAAAGAAGGGAGAGAGGGGAACAGAGGGAGAGAAGGAGAGAGGAGGTGAAGGGATGAAGGGAGGGTGACATCAATGTGAGAGAGAAACATCGATTGGTTGCCTCCCAGACACACCCCGACTGGGGACCAAACCCGCAATCTAGGTTTGTGCCCTGACTGGGAATCTAAGCCACAACATTTTGGTGTATGGGACCATGCTCCAACCATTTGAGCCACCCAGCCAGGCTTTGATAATTTTTATATTTTCAAAAGGGCAGCCTGGTGTAACACCAGAATTTCTCTCTCAGATACCAAGATTTAATTTTATTTTAACACATACTAAACTCTGCCAGATTTTAAGGATGATTACATAGTTGCATGTATTTATAGAGATTAGCACTATTACTCTTAGAAGCTAATATAAATTTAAAGTAAGAAACATGGTCTGAAAAAAAATTACATAAAACCAACAGATGTAATGCATAAAGGGATTTTTAACATTACTAGGTGAAAACATCATCATTGCACATAAGTGTAATTACTTCCTTGATGGTTACTTAATGGTGCACTAGAACTAATATTTCATAAAACAGCATTTGCTACCAAAGAAACGGGCCATTTCCTAGCAGCTACAAAGTGGGATATCTTGAATTGCTCTTACAATGACCTGGTGACTCCACTTCTACTTGAAAATGAACAATCAGGTGTCTGGGGCATTGAGTCAGAGACAAATGGCCAGGCTTTTGCTTGGAAGGGGGCTGTTATCACCTTCAATTTGGGGTTAAAATATCAACCCTGCCTGAGAAATAACATAACCACTTTTGAGAGTTCTTCAGAAATGGTACTGAGAGAACATTAGATGGGCTATTAAGAAAACACAAATTATATGCGTAGCCCTTTCTCTTGACACATTATGAGTGCAGAAGTGACTACTGTGGGAAGCAGAACTACTACTTTGCTATCTCACAACCTGGGCCTTAATTGCCCCCTCACCTTACCCTATCTCTCCCTTTCTGCTTTCTAATCATTTAGAGGGCTGTATGTGGAAAGGCAAACAGACCTTATATATGGCAGTCCCCACTTGCTAGTAACCTAGTTATACATCTACATACACGGCTGCTCACCAGGGCACCTCTGCCTGTGGCTAAAACCACTGTCCCTACTATTCAGGCACTGAGTAACCAGCTGCACTTCCCAGAGCTCTGCATCCTCAGGTCTATGCTCTGGTTTTCCACTTGGACTTTATCCCTTACTGTTTCCAGCATCCTTGCCCAACAAGTCACCCGTGTCAGGAAAATCCATCAGCAACTAGCTAGGAGGTCAAGAGAAGTGCTGTTGGTGGGTGGCCTGGTCCCAGAAGATGGAAAAAGAGAGGGTTGACTATTGCTCTCTGTCAGTTTATAAATAGCTTGACTCACCAAAAATTAAGAATCACTGGAATCTAATGAACAAAATAAACTAATGAACAAAATAGATCCAGAGACATGGAAGAATGGAACAGACTGTCAGATCTCACAGGGAAGGTGGGGGTGGGTGGGTGAGAAGAATTCAACCAAAGAACTTGTATGCATATATGCATAACCCATGGACATAGACAACAGTGTGGTAAAGGCCTGGTGCGGGGGGGCGGGTGCAGGCTAGAATGGCTAAACTCACCAAACTGCACACAGGGGGACATAAGTACTATTTTCAACAATAAAGATTAAAAAAAAAAGGCTAGCAGGAGCGCCAGGAACAGTGCTCTGATACCTTCGCCTCAACCACTGATCATGCATCAAAGCCTACCTTGTTCATCTTCCCTCTCATTTTTCATGCTGTTCACTTGCTCTTTAGAAGGCAATGTCTCCTAAATGCTTCATTTCCAATAGTTTTATTCAAAACATGAATGGAGGCAAATGGAACACATATTTACCCAAACTCATTCCATCTCAGGAATTCTAAATCTTGCATTTATTCACTGGCAGTTTCAAGTTAAAAAACAAAACAAAAAAGGCACCAAATCATTCCTCAAAGAACATGGGTTAAGTCAGAGACATACATCCAATCCCATAAGAAGCGAACAAATCTTTCCGTCTTACCCATAGGTCTGTTTCTGTCCCTGAGGTCCCTGTGGCTGGGGTGTCGGTAGGAGTCCCTGTAGTGGTGGGCAATGGCCATATCATCCAAACGGTAATGCTGAGGTGGAGGTGGGGTGGGGTGAGGCAGGCCATTGGGCTGGTAGGACAAGCCGTTATTTGGACTGTACCGCTGGCCGGGGCTAATGGTGCATGGCCGCTTGCTTGGATGTTCTGAGTGCAAAGGCTCTCTGTCAAAGCCATTTTCTTTGGTTCTGCGGGGGCGGGGGGAGGGGAAGGAGAAAAAGATTTTGTTTCATGATATATTCAGAAACCAGCATAATTCAAACACTCACATTTGAACTTGCAATATACACAATATTCCTGCATTGGCCGGAAACTTTGTAAACTCAGAAGACCACTGACTGGTAATTCACTGAAATGCATGCTGAGGTCTACATGATCACCGAACTGCACACAGGAGAAATGGTTCAATTCTCAAACATCTCTTGGAAAATATATTTTCATTTGAGGCTCATACATGGTTAGGATCATGAATAAAAGGAAATCCCAATCTCACTCCGTCAATAACATTTCCATTCAAAAGAGACTACTTGGTTCCTAACATATTACCCTAAGACATTGTATCTGGTGAAGATTCAAATTAGACATCATTCTCCTGATGAATTAGTTCTTCAGGTTAGACACCTACTCCATGCATCCACCCTGGCTAACGTTCATATCAGAGAACACCTAAGAGCTGTGTTGCCCAATACAGTAGCCACATGTGTCTGCTTAAATTTAAATGTAAGTTAATTAAAATTAAAGTTTACAATTTGGGTCTTCAGGAGCAGAGGCCACATTTCAGGGGCTCAGTCACCACCTGGGGCTGTGGCTACAGACGGGGACTGCACGCACAGAGAACATTTCCGTCGTCACAGACAGCTCCATGGGCAAGTGCTGATCAAATGAGCTAACACAATAAAGCAATGTAACGTCTGGCACTCTCCCATGGCCTGGTGTCACCTGGGTATCCATCGGCGGCCACACGGAGCCAGCTGCGACTAAAGAGAATTTAGGTGAATCCCTTTATTTTAAAGTTGGGGAAACATGCTCAGAGAGCATGCGTGACCTCACTGGGGTCATGAGGCCTCAGGGCAGGACAGCACAACCTGCCGGCACTTGATTATGTGACACACAAAACTCTGAACTTGGCTTTCGGAAGGAATACATTATATAAACGAGACCTGATAACTAATCACTGCTCCTACATCTGTTCAAAAAGAGGTGGGGCTAGAGCACCATTGTCTGGCTGACTAGGTCTCTATTTATAAGGACAAACTTCATACATGCAGTCAGACAGGAACCAGCCACATCCGACTGTGACTGGAACAACAGCTCCCAAGCTCATTTCTGATGAAGGAGCGGGCCCTCACCGCAAGACCAGCACTCTATCATTAGACCTGTCATAAGGTCTATTTTCCCTGTAAAATTTCCCCATGAGAATTCTACCAAGTCACAGCAGCTACAGACCTCTGCACGCCTTTTTGATTCTATGTTGGAAAGAATAGCATAGAGGCCTGAAGACATTTTCTCCCACTTTCCTGGCTTCCAGGATAGTCTTGGTCTGGTAGTACTAGAGGAACCAGAGTAGCAACTGACTTAACAAGGGAGGTCATTAGGGCCACAAGATTCTACAATGAGCCATCCGTTACATCGAGTAGGGTAGACCCCCCAGTGACAACTGACGCACACGAGACTGAGAAGGATAAAGGACTTGAAGACAGAAGGTATAGCACACAAAAAGCTGAGGAACACTGCAGAGTTCAGTGTGCAATGCATACATGCCCACTACATCCTGGAGAAAGATGCACTATCCTGGAGACAGCAGACTGGCCAATACTGGACATGACAGCAGGACATGGTCCATGCGGAGGGGGGAGAGAGGAAGGTGTGGCTAGATGATGCTCCCATCAAAGTATGCGTCTGTCCTAAAGCATCATTAATATTAGACCAAAAAATGTCCACTATAGCTCAGACATTACCTAAATGCGTTTCTTTAACACAATTTTTAAAAGTGAAAGGAAACATTTTAGATACTGATTTATCTTCTAAGAGTATATCTATGTGATTCTAATCTGTATTTCCATGTCCTATATATTTCTGAAAAATACACTTCAACATTCAATGCATATGACCAGCATCAATCAGTTGAAAAAATACTGCAGACTATTAGTAGCTATGAATATAATGCTGACACATCACCTACCTTACGGGCAGTGTGGTGTAGTGGTAAGAGCTCTGGACTGGGAATCATGAGCTATGAGATCTAGTCCTGGCTCTTCCACGACTAGCTGTGTGACCTTGGGCAAGCCACTTAACCTCTCTGGACCTCAGTTTGCTCATCTGTAAAATGAAAGGGTTGGACTAAGTCAGTGGTTTTCAAACTGTGCCACCTGAGGCACTAAGGGATTCTGCAGGCAACGAAGAACTTTTCCTGTAAACAATCAAAATTTAAAGGGCCAGAGGAACCCACTTCTTACTATCTCTTTTTGTAAATTTAGGTTCCACTTAAGGCAGCGGTTCTCAACCTGTGGGTCGCTACCCCTGGCGGCCGAACAACCCTTTCACAGGGGTCGCCTAAGACCATCCTGCATATCAGATATTTACATTATAATTCATAACAGTAGCAACATTACAGTTATGAAGTAGCAACGAAAATAATTTTATGGTTGGGTCACAACATGAGGAACTGTATTTAAAGGGCCGGAAGGTGAGAACCACTGACTTAAGGTTTCATTTTATTTTATTTTTTTTATCTTTATTGTTCCAAGTATTTTAAAGGAAAAAGTCTGCCGCTAAAATCAAGTTTGAAAACCACTGGACTAGATGATTTCTGAGGTCCCTTCTAGTTTGAAACCTCTTTCATTCCATTTTCCTATATTTACATCTAAATGTCCTGGTTCTGGCCCTAGATGGTTTGGCTCAGTGGATAGAGCGTCAGCCTGCGGACTGAAGGGTCCGGGATTCGATTTTGGTCAAGGGCACATGCCCAGGTTACAGGCTCGATCCCCAGGAGGGGGCGTGCAGGAGGCAGCCGATCAATGATTCTCATCATTGGTATTTCCATTTCTCTCTCCCTTTCCCCTCCTCTCTGAAATCAATAAATATAAAAATTAAAAATAAATAAAAAATAAAATAAGTGGCTTGGCTCTGCAGATCGAAAGACATAGGGCTGACGGTCCTTTGGCCAAACGGTGCCTGTGCCAACCACGTTAGCCGACAGAGTAGTTCTCTGTGCTTTGCTTTGAATGACTTATTATTTATAGCTAATTCCTTGTGCAAAAATAGAAAATATCCTCTAAATAACTTATAGCAGCCACTGCTGCATTTCTAAATATACAAACGTTTTTGGCCCAGTTGTGTCAAACCACTTCAACTTATGGGTTCTGTCTACCCTTGTTCAAACATAACAACATACAATATTAAAAGAATTCTTAGAATGTTGTTTATCTTTACCTTTAGATCAGCCATCTGGTCAGTGCTATTCCGTCAATGAACAATTATTATCAAAAGAGATATTTTCCCCCTCAGCAAGGACACTGCCATCCTAAGCAGGGCTCAGTCCCGAGTCTGTCCTATCATTTCTGGCAGGACTCCGCTGTCCAACCCTGGGCCCTATGGTAGCTATGGAAATAATAGAGCTCAGGTAGCTATGGAAATAATAGAGCTCGCCTCACAGAAGTCGTTAGATTTTAATAGCAAAACATGAAAACCTTCATGGCCCACAAAAACAAGTCGGTGCAAGGTCTCACCGGTGCGTCCTTGAATCACTTACGTCTAGAAAAGGCAAGCCTAGTTAAAGGATGGGTGCACGTCCAGAACTGTAACTAAAACAACATAACTGTTATTCGTCTGTCTCTTTCTTAGAATGCCTACAACTATCTACACCTCATTTGCCTGAGCAAATTCCAAATTGGCTTATTTGTTACCCTTTCAAAGTGTTGTAAGCAAAACTAAGTGAATTTAGATAAGAATTTTACATAATACCTTTCTCTTTCTTTAATATATTTTTACTGATTTCAGAGAGGAAGGGAGAGAGAATCATGGAGCAGCTGCCTCCTGCATGCCCCCTACTGGGGATCCAACCCACAACCCGGGCATGTGCCCTTGACTGGAATCGAACCCAGGACCCTTCGGTCTGCAGGCCAATGCTCTATCCACTGAACCAAACCAGCTAGAGCCATCATACTAAAAATGTATCTAAAACAAAATATATGACAAGTTCCCCACCTCCTTAAAAAAAAAAAAATAACAAACCTAATTCTTCCTGACAACCCACGGTGGTTTCTGTGCTTTGCTCTCATCTTAGGGGAGGGAGGATATTCAGATGAGAGGTAACAGAACGCTGAATGACACAGGACCGTTACTGCTGGGCCATGTGGCAGGAGAAGCCTTCAGTCTCTCCACGGCCAGACAACCACGGAGAAACCTCCCCAGCAGCATGCCAATACCTTCAGGAGGGAATGAAGCGCAGGTGGACGAGGACCACTTCAGACATATAAACATGCTGCCTGGACCTTCAAGGATGACAATACAGCAGGTTCACAGCCATCTGAGCCTTCTTTTCTCCCCCAACAAGAAGGTGGGATGTGTCTCCCAGAGCTCGCCATCTGCTCAACGGTTAGGTTCCTGCTACTGCCTGTCCCCTGCCTTTCATAATTTCTGCCCACTGCTGACATCTTCAATTTATACTGCTCCTCCTGGGCGGAGCTGTGCTTTCTTGCTCTGTTCTGTCAGCGTTACATTGTGAGTGAAGCCCTCCAGTTTTTTTTGGTCAGTGAACCAATCATAGCATTTTGTTCCTGGGCTGTTGATGGCTATTTTCATTTTTGTGTGTCTCAGAGATGCAGCTTTTAAAACAGTAGAAAGCAAGAAAGACTCTTAAGGGAGAGACTATTTTGTATTATACTGAAAATGACTACAGTAAGTTTAATGATTTATTTATTCAAGGAGTAGGGTTTTTGTTGTTGTTTTATGAGTGGGTATACATAGAAACCCACTATGTGTAATACACTATCCTGAGCTTTAGTGGGCATACGAAGATAACCAAGAGATAATCCCTCAACACCCTCCATAAAATTATCACTTAATACCAGACATACATTCTTTGTAGAAGTACACTGGCAATAAATCTTTTACTGTAAAGACAATTTAATTGGAGACATGACTTCTATATTTTCACATAGGACCTGCACTTGGCAAGAACCATAAAAATAGTACCAAAGTAATATGGAAGATGAGAGTGAGAAAAAAGCACTCCAGAATGTGCACTTGAATGAGCAGGGTCTATGGAGTTGGTTCAAATTTTGGCTCTGCTATTTGTTGGACATAGGAACTTAACCTCTATGAGCCTCAGTGTTTTCATCCACAAAATGGGAATGATGACCTCAGAGCTACTGAGAGGACTATCTGAAAGAATCTACATAAAGAGCCTAACACATATTTAGCATTCAATAACTTCAAGCTGATAGTGTAGAATCCTAGTTATAAGAGCAGGGGCGTTCCAGGCAGAGAATCCAGGGTTAGAATCCCATCCGTGCCTTTTATAAACTATGTGACCTCAGACACATTACCCCGCCTGCCTGAATCTATGCAATAGGACTGTTAGCATGTAAATTATTTAGCACAAGGCCAGGAGCATCTTAAGGGCTCAGTGAATAGTAACTATTTATGATTGGGAAGCCTGTATTAAATAGTAGATATTGTCTGAGTTAGCCTGTGAAGCATGAACAGAATTATGGCATGAAGAGTATTTGGCAGTGCCCGGCTGGTGTGGCTCACTGGTTGAGCATCAACCTATGAACTAGGAGGTCATGGTTCAATTCCCAGTCAGGGCACATATCTGGGTTGTGGATTAGATCCCCAGTAGGGGGTGTGTAGGAGGCAGCTGACCAATGATTGTCTCATCATTGATGTTTCTATCTCTCTCTCCCTCTCCTTTCCTAAATATATATATATATATTCAGCATGGCTAGGCTAGCATGTCCATGTTGAGACCAGTATGGAGAGACCAAAATGTCCTCTACAAACCATGCTATCTCATCACGTACAGCAACTTAATGCTATTTCACTAGAATCCTTCACAACTGGGAGTATTTTTTTAAAAAATTCATTTCTACATAGATGATTACTCACTTCTTGAAAGTTCACCATGCATAAAAGATCTAACACAAAACAACAATATATGAATATAAAATTAAACATTATTTTTCCTACAAAACTGAATGCTGTAGGTAATATAGATTTAATTCTTAACTTCTAGTCTCTTATTCATAGTCAATTAATCCTGCAATTCCTTGTAAAGTGTACCTATTTACCTTTTCTCTTAATAAATACAAAAATATTGAAACACCATTCATTTTACAGAAAAAAATGGACCTAATAGTTTCAGCTGGTGTATACTGTGTTGGCAAATGTTATATATTCAATGAACATGGTTTCAAAATGATGGCCTTCTGCCCTGCTGGCATGGCTCAGGGGTTGAGCATGGACCTATGAACCAGGAGGTCACGGTTCGATTCCCGGTCAGGGCACATGCCTGGGTTGCAGGTTCAATTCCCCCCCGTAAGGGGCATGCAGGAGGCAGCCAATCCATGATTCTCTCTTATCACTGATGTTTCTATCTCTCCTTCCCCCTTCCTCTCTGAAATCAATAAAAATATATTTAAAAAAAAAGAAAAGAAAGTAGAATAAATTTCACTGCTCCATACAGGGGAAAAATGATTTTGTAGGCTTCCCTACAGAGTCCTCATTTCTCTGTAAATAATAATAATAATGCTTTAAAAAAAAAAAAAAAAGACATAACCAGTGACGGTCATATTTGAGGAGAGAAAAAAGTTAAATTTGCCAAAAAGCCATCCCTAAAACATGTGACAACTGTTTAGTAGATTAAATCTGCAATTATCACAAAATTTAAGCCCCCAAAGTTGTAAACAAAATGCAGAGTGCTCTTTTGTTCATGGCGTGTCATGAACAAATTACCGGGATGTGTTTTCTCCTCAGGTGTCAGGTTTTCCCTCTTCCAGTGACGGATGGTTCCCAGTGTTATTACAGAAACAGATTGATCTTTTTAATGAGCCAGTTTAATAGACTCCAGAATCTCGACGTGGCTGCTCATCCATGTCAGACCATATGCAGCCACAAAACATTCAGTGAAACAAAAAAAACCCTCTGCTGTCAGGCGGCCCCGTCCTCTACCGCATCTCCTACAGCGGGTCTGGAGGCGCAGATAATAACCAGAGGAGAGGAACATGCATATGCAAACAAGATGCAGGGAACACAGGCAGAGGCAGGCGAGAGCGGCCCATATTTTCTCGGCTCCCATCGAATTCCCACAAGATGCGAGTGTATTTACACAACATGTTCTCATGCCCCTTCCTCCGAACTCTAAGGAAATCCGTTTGCCATCTTTCCATTGCAACACACCTTTCGGGGCACCACGTGAACAAGAAACTCCACCCAAGGAGCAAGCTTGTGCATCCCCACTCCGGCCGCTAATCCTGTCGATGCGTGACCACGGGGAGAATGTAGCCGAAGGCTCTGAGTCCTGCCTGACCCCAAGCATGCACGCACGCACGCAGCCACAGCGCACTAACGTGCCGTGTCCGTGTCCGTGTTAGCATGTCCTTCAGGGCTGACCTCACTGCCTGAGGAACGTCTAAAGGCACTGTCCTTTCAAACATAAATCACTGGAAAAGAACCAGCGGGGCGATGGCTGGGAATATAGAGAAATGAATGAAAAATGAATATAGAGAAATGAATGAAAACTGAATATAGAGAATGAATGAAAACTGAATATAGAGAATGAATGAACACTGAATATAGAGAAATGAATGGAAAAGGTGGCCAGGCTGCCTGTTGTGGCTACGTAGCAGCCAGGGTTTCTAGAATACGTTGTGTCCATTTCCAGTTTTGCCTATAGGATGACTTTTATATGTATCACAGGTATCTAAACCTTTCCCTGTTACCCTCGCCTCCACCCAAGCAAATGTTTTTTCTCCCCCGTTTTCCACCCAGTCTCTCCCCGATTCTTTTCCTACACTGTTCTGAAAGAAATGGGGGTGCACCCGCTTTTTCTCATCTCATACCTGCACCCAGGACTGCCTTCCTGCAGGTAAACAGGTCAGACATCATGCACAGGGAGGCATCTATCCTGGGGCCGCTTCTTGGTTTTCAGGTTGTGCCATGCAGACACCTGGGTTAAGTAGTTCCCTGTAAAAGCTAAAGGACTAAATGCTTACATATGGCTGAGGAAAGGTGACTTGTAAAAATAAAAATAAAAAAGTAGCACTATTGGTAGGTCACGTATGAAGGTGAGTCTACAGAATGCAGAAGTAAACTAATGCGTAACCTTTGCTTCAGGAATTTTATACTATTAAGAGGGAGGTCCTATGTCAAGAGAGAAATTCCAGAGACTCTAGCATATAAATTATAGTAACTGTATGTAAACTGGCTTGCTTTTAATAACATTCTGTGGATTCTAGCCAGTTAGGCTCAGTGGCTAGAGCGTCGGACTGGGAACTGAAAGGTCCCGGGTTCAATTCTGGTCAAGGGCACATATCTTGGCTGCAGGCTCCTCCCCGACCCGGGCCCTAATTGGGCGCGTGCAGGAGGCAACCAATCGATGTGTTTCTCTCACATTGATATTTCTCTCTGTCTTTCCCTCTCTCTTCCACTCTCTCTAAAAGTCAATGGAAAAATATCCTTGGGTGAGGATTAAAAGAAAAAAGAATAATATTTTTAAAATGACAATGTTAATACTGTGTGTCTAAGAACCATCAGTGGCAGTTAGCACATTTGAATAGCATTCATCTTTACCTTTTACTTTATTTCATTTTTAAAGAATTTTTTATTTTTTTAATTTTAGAAAGAGAGGAAAGGAGAGGGAGAAAAGGGAGGGAGAGAGGGAGGAAGAGAGGAAAGGAGGGGGAGGGAGGGAGGGAGGGAAGGAGAGAGAGAGAGAGAGAGAGAGAGAGAGAGAGAGAGAGAGAGAGAGAGAGGTTTGTTGTTCCACTTATGTATGCATCCACTGGTTGATTCTTGTATGTGCCCTGACTGGGGATCAAACCACAACCTTGGCGTATTGGGACAATGTTCTCACCAACTGAGTGAGCTACCTGGCCAGGGCCTTCACCTTTGACTTTAATATTATAAGCAACAAAGATGAACCATCACAAAAGCTGACACAGGCCAGAGTCATCCCTCTGTAACATCCCAGGCCAGAGCGAGGTCCCCAGGAGGGACCCTTTAGCTTATGGCTGTTTGCAACAGGTGTAGGTGAGCAGTCAGCTTAGACATCCCACGCAGCAGGTCCTCATCCCACGGGTACCAGCCAAGGCCGGGCTAGCCCGCCGCGCTCCCCCTCACCTGTCTGGAGTCCGCCTCTTCCCGTTCTCGTTCACGTCGAGGAGCAGCTCGGAGGAGTCCACAGGGGAGGTGGTGCTGGCGTCCAGGAGCAGCTGCTCGTGCTGGGCGAGGTACTGGGCAGGGTTCTGCTTGGCCAGCCTCGCGCAGTGCAGGAGCTCGCGCTGCAGCAGGGGCAGGTTCGCCTGCGGGAGCGGGAGGGGATAAAGGCAATAGGTGTGATGTCCAGGCACAGGTCCCAGTGCTGGGCGACAGTGTCGGCTGCTCCCTGACGTGCACTGCCCCGAGCATGAGGTGCCTGACCTGTGTGAGCCACCTCACCCCTCCGGCTCCCAGGACCACGGGGAGCACCGGGATTGGCACTTATTTACTTTTAAGGTCCTTCAGATCTGAATCTAATATAATATTAAGCCCCCCAGGATATAAAGTTCTGGCTCCATCCATCAGCAATTTTTGTTTATTCCTCATGGAAGACACAGAGTATGTGAAATACATACACACTTCATTTTTGTATCTAGTAACTTGCCCAGGTAAAACAGGTTAATCCTATGAAACATCTCTGGTCGACTACTAACTTCTAATAATAATAATAATAATAATAATAATAGAGTTGAATGTAGAAATTATTTTTAGTAATTGTCAGATTCATATATTTAAGTAATGCCCAGAGTATGGTCAGATATCCCGGGTGGAATTCATGCACAAAGTAGCATATATGAGTGGTCTATGAAAATAATCTGCTTTCTTTATAGCGTCCTTATTCTAAAAATTGCATACAGTTTCATAGGAGAAATCCTGTGTGCCCATAACTTTTGCTCCTCATCGAGCCCAGCACTTGGAAAAAAGACTCTCTGAACATGTTTGTGGACACATAATTCGGGCGATCTCAAATGTAACGAAAGGGAAGGAGACGATTCCACACAGTAAAGCGTTCAAACGGAAATGGAATTTCACTCTAAAAAGTAAACATACTCTGACATTGTTGTGTTTTCTTCTCTCTCTCTCTTTTATTTTTATTCTTTTTTGGGGAGAGGCGGGGGGACAGTGAGAATAGGTGGCAGAGTGAAGAACAACAACACTTACCTCTCCAAATTCAAGGGGAGACCCATAACCTAAATCTCTTTGCAACCCAGGATCTTATTTGTAGGAACAAGATGCCATGGATATTAGTTAGCCCGTCGGGTTGAAAAGCATTTCTGAATACAGGAGGTGCCAGCGGCCTTCCTCTATGGGCTCTCGGGTCTACACTATCAGGGACAGGCACCAGGGCTGGACTTGAAACACCATCCATTATCTGAGGTATGAACCAAGGATCCATCTCCTAAGAATACCAAAGCATGTTTCTGCACAAGGTATAAAATACTAGGATATTTGCTAAAGATAAGCACATACCACATGCTGTAGCTAAAAATAAACCATTTGCAGTTAATCTAGAGCAGCGGTTCTCAACCTGTGGGTCGCGACCCCTTTGGGGGTCAAACGACCCTTTCACCGGGGTCGCCTAAGACCATCGGAAAACACATATATAATTACATATTGTTTTTGTGAATAATCACTATGCTTTCATTATGTTCAACTTGTAACAATGAAATTGGGGGTCACCACAACATGAGGAACTGTATTAAAGGGTCGCGGCATTAGGAAGGTTGAGAGCCACTGGTCTAGAGGGTCATGTGGGTAATAAATACATTTTCAAAATATTTTTAAACTCTGTTTCCTCCTTAGTGAAGGTAGCTCTCAGACACTGTGTGCCATCCATACATAATAAAACAGCAATTCCCCCTGAACACTTAAAAAGTTTTAAGAATCATTCTGAAGCCTATGGATAAGATTTTAAAAGTTGTCCAAAACAATATATTGCAAACCTCTCTAGTCCTGGTTGTTTCAAAGGATTCCAAAGATTAAAAAAAAAAAAAAAAGATTTAATAAAGGAAGAGACAAAATAAAACAAAAAACCACCAAGTATCTCCAGTACTCCATTAACAAAGCATGAGATTCAGAATTAAGCTGGCTGGGAGCGGGGGGGGGGGGGGGTGGGACGGGGGGGGGGGAGATCAACACTGTCCCATGACCTTCTTCATATTATCTTCAGCATTTCTATCAAGAGGAGGCACCTGGGATATATCATAAACCCCACCTCCCACGTACACTGCAACAAGACTGTGGCCACGCTGTGTGAAGCAGATTCGGCTGGGACCACAGCGCCAGGCTCTCTCAGATTCCTTCTGTGCGGCCTGCCAGCAACATTTAAGCAGGCAGGCAGACCGAGTCCCGCCAGCTCAGAGAGACGAGTTCCTGAATGATAATCAGGAGGGCTGACCCCCAGGCTGGACAGCTCGTGTGCAGATGTGTTTTGGCAATGCATTCCCGGGCCCCGATCCAGAAACAGCCTTAAGATAGTCAGTACAAAAGTTGATTTTTGAAGACACACAAAATAGTAAAACCCTGAAGACAAGTTATAAAATGCACATCTCTTGGGCTGTTAGAGAGACTAACTTCTTAGTTGCAGACTCAAATCTATTTTTGCAAAGGAGACTGTTCGAGGGTGGATGTGGTTAAAGCATACCTATAGTTTTTAACTGGTGTCTACAGGGGAAGAGGCTTATAAGAAAAGAAGCTGTATCTAGGACTGTTTTCACTAAAGACTTTTCTTTAATCTATATTTTGGTGGGATCCCTAACTTCATGTTTTAATACAACCCCTGTCACACAACTGAGTGATTAATAGTAAACACGCATGCCTCCAGTTTCCAATTTAAATGTATGGATGGCACAAGACAAGAGGCTTTCACGTGGCGCTCAGCTTAATTTAGTGGTTCCATAAACATCTTCTTTCAATTTAAAAAATATGGTAATACAAAGCAATTCTGTTTGCTCTAATTCTGGTGCCAGATTAGGTAATTAGAATGGTGTCTAATATCTTTCCAGTAAATGTTTCTCCATAAATGCAAAATGGAATCGAGGGTCTGAGGGTTACATTAGCTTAATGAAAACAAGACTTTAATGCATATTGTTAGAGCAATGTTTGAATGCACTTATTAAGGCCCGAGTTCCCACAACCATATGGTTTTTGTCATTAATGTCTCCTTTGAGAAAAAGCACTAAAATTAGAAAAAAAAAAGTTTTATCTTTGATTCCAATGATCCCAACTAAATGATATGGTAACCATATGGTGTGCAGCAGTGATAGAAGAACATGGAAGTGTCCTTGTATGCTTTTAAAATAATTTTTGGCTGCCAACTTGACCCTGAAAGGAGCCCCCCCCCCCTTTTTTCTCTCCTTTTCTTTCCTTAGTTTCTTGCAAGCAAAGAAACCAGTGGTATTTGCACAGGAAATGGAATTCATATGATGAAATCTTTACAGAAAGCAACTCTCTTAGAAAAACCGAAGATTCTAGACTCAACTGACATGTTCAAAAAACAATTTGCTTTTGAGAATACATGATTGTAGTAGAAGCCATTTTGGAGGGAAATACCGATACATCATCCCTGTAACCTTATGTACACAATATAGAAAATAATGAAAAGAACATAATGGAAATCTGGGTTTCCATATAAAAAGATATAATTTAATGATTTGTAAATATTCTCAGAACAGAACTATCTCATTTCACTTCAATAAGAATAACAGCAGGAAAGACATATCATCCAGAAAGTTCTGAATTTGGGCTCAGTTCTGACAGCTTTTCTAGGTTTTTGGGTAGTTACTTGAACCTTATGTGTCTGATTTAAAAAAAAAAAAAAAAAAAGATGGAACTTCACAGCAAAGGGGAAGGCGAATGAGTCTTTCTCATTTAATCAATCTGCAAAGCCCACGGTTAGGATAAAAATGGGTTTGTTCCTCTACATCAGCGGTTCTCAACCTGTGGGTCGCGACCCCTTTGGCGGTTGAACCACCCTTTCACAGGGGTCGCCTAAGACCATCCTGCATATCAGATATTTACATGACGATTCATAACAGTAGCAACATTACAGTTATGAAGTAGCAACGAAAATAATTTCATGGTTGGGTCACAACATGAGGAACTGTATTTAAAGGGCTAGAAGGTTGAGAACCACTGCTCTCCATGGTATTCACTAACAACCCACTATGCCCAAGCGGTGGGCATAATTTGCTTTCCTATCAAAATTTTATTTTTCTATCAAAACTGTCAATTCTTTTAGTATCAATCAGTGAAGTAACTGCCTGCTGTCCCGGATAAACATGTTCCTTCTTTCTCTTGCGAACTCTTTTTGTGTGTTTTTTGCAGTTGCTTTACTGGAGAGGCAGTAGTTGGAGAAAGTGAAGACCAGGAAACTGAGGAATAAATACTGTTTCTAAATCACACCTCAAACGACTCAGACCAACATACCCTGCATCTGCCACTTACTCCCAGTTTCCTCACTGACAAAGCGGGTGAAGGCCTGCTCTTTCTATTGCATTAGGTTGTTGCAAAAATAAATCAGACGGATTTTTAAGACTCTGAAAAACTAAAAAGGAAGAACCAATCTTACATTCATTCTAAAGACAAGCAAAATGTAAAATGTAACTCAAAGGACCAAAACAAACAAACAAATAAACAAACAAAACCTTTATTCAAAGAGATTTCTCAATTCTTCTCCCAACTTAACTATTCAAAACACTCTGAATTATCCTTTTAAGACTGCTTCAGAAATGATCAGAAAACCATATGTATTCCGATCGTTTTCACCCAGTAAACTAAGTGAAAGCACCCTTAAATGTCTGACCACCCTCCACTCCTAAAGAGAAACACTATTGTGACCTAGCAACAACATGCTCTGAAATACTTTCCAGACAAGTGAGCTGTACAATACCTTCAAGAACGGGATGACGAAAGGTCGCAGTGGGAAGTTAGTAGCTTCTTGCAGTTTGGAATGAAATTCTTCAATTGTCAAAGTAGAGTTCTGTGGAAGAAAATATGTCCTATAAACACATTTGTCTCTTGGTAGACAGTAAAAACAATGAGATTGCTAAATTACCAATACGGTTAAAACACTGTAATAACCAGCAGACACACATACAGGAAGCAGTATTTTCAATATACTACCGTTGACTTTGTAAAAAAAATACTGCATATTATAATTCACTGTATCACTCACCTTTTAAAATAACATCTGAAAATGAAAGACCATAAATGTGGTACTTTGAGAATAATGTGCATACTTTTGTCAGAGAATTTTGTCTCTAAAATCATGAAGAACCTTTTAATATTACCCTTTATGGAAAACTCTTTATTTAAAAGCACAACTGATCGCAGAGTGGGCCAAAGGCAAGTGTCAGAATCTCAATTCACCCCACAGGCCATGTCTGTATTTCTGCTGGTGGAAATATTCTTCTCCCGTCCTTCCATCCTCCCATTCTTCCTATGTCTACCAAAGCAGCCTTGCTCAGAATGCACAGCTATGTTGGGTGGTGTGCTGCACTATGGAAGCCAAAGAAAAAGTTTGGGCCTTCTCCGATTCACTGAGTCTTATAGAGGGTGAAAACATTCCCCAGTTATCAAAGACATTTCATTTAGCATAGAGGCAAGGTTTATGGCTCAACCCAAAAGAGACTACAAAATGACTCTACTCACTCTAACCTATGCCATGTAAACAAGCCCCCAATACTCAGGGTTTGTATCCTGCAATGAGTGATTTGACAGACAACAACCTATTGGAAAGGTGTAGAGTAAATTAACTATATTTGGTTCATTTTCCTTAGTCCCTAGGCAGAATCGCAACTGTAAACTGTAGTCTGAACTTCAAGCCTTCGATTATCCTCATGCCTGACAAAATTGGGGTATTTGTGACCTAACAGCTTTAGAATATTGTTCCCCACTTTTTGGTGCAGTTCCTTTTCCTTTTATGATAAAATATGGGGTACCAAGTTCTAAGCTTTTTATACCCCCACATTCAAAACATATTAACATGAAACTATGTATGAATAACACTAGCTTTCTATCTATAATAATAGAGGTTAAGGAGCCCTTTTTTAAATCTTTTATTTTGCCTCTTTATTTTCAGTTAGTAATTTTTTAAACATTTTTAATGAATTAAATATATTGGGGTGATATTAGTTAATGAGATTATATAGGTTCAAGTATACATTTTCATGATGTAAGATCTGTACACTGCATTGTGTGCCCAATAGCCAAAGTCAAATCATCTCCCATTACTATATATTTGGCCCCCTTTACCTTTCACTACCCCTTCTCCCCATTTTGTTTCTATGGCTCATTTTCCCAAAAGCCATTTTGGTTATGTTTCACACATTAAAACAGTTACTAATATTTTTTCTTAACTGTCGAAGTAACAGCATAATGAGATTCATTATGATTTACTATCTGAGTGCAAGTCATAGGCCTATCACAATGTATATTTTACTTCTGCAAACCTCAGTTTCCCCACATATAAAATGTGTATAAAAATCACTACTTCAAAGGATGGTCCCAAGATTTAAATAAAACGGCTTGTGTTCAATGCCTAAAACAAAATGCATCATCTAGTCATTCGCTCATTTGACAAATGTTCACTGCCTGCCTCTCATGTACAAAGCACTATTAATTAATGCTTCCCCCTCACTTATCTCCATAAGGCTTTCAGATAAATAAAACATATCTTCAAAGTATGCCACTTAAGATGTAGAAAAATCTACTGACGGCTACCAACTTTTTGATACATTTAAAGTTATGGAAACCGCTGTTAAAGACATATCCAATTTATAAAGCAGTTGCCAGAAGAAATGTCTACTAGTAACAACACATTTACCGTTTTCTTAATTCAATCACTGTTTTGAATTTACTTTGTGGTTCTTCCGTCTAATTTATTTAGGTGTTGAAAAGCCTATTATGCAAAACGTGAGAATGAATGAAAAGGAAAAGATAAGTGAGTGACAGAAGTAACTGCAGGAGGCTGACATTCTTCTGTCAAATTCACCTTCCTGTCCTGAGGAGGACAAGGTGAAGCTGATGGATTGTGGGGAATGTGCAAGCTGTTGTTCTTAGAGTGCAGAGGAGAGGGAGACTACACTGAAAAGTTCCACATACTTTAAAAAAAAAAGAAAAAAAACGTTGAATTGCAACATCTCTGGCAATGTGAGAGGCCGTGATTTGAAGCATGTCTACTGCCTTAGACTCTCAGCCAGACTTTTCATTTGGGAACTTCTTTGACAAAACACAACTGGTATGTCTTTGCCCTTGGTAAATCCACGCAATAAAAATAAACTATCTATTTCAAGAAAAAGGAAACTGCTGCCGATCTTCTGAATCTCAGTTCCACAATTAGCCTGGATACTGAAAGAACTGACGTTGTGACTCATAACTTCTCCATGATTCCGGCTGCTATGGGAAAATCACCTTCCTAAATGGAAACCCTCCATGTGTATATGAAATCATGGAAATGCAAAAGTGATCTAGGACTCTAAAAAAAGGATGTCTGTTCTCATGTCTAGAGTGATAATGTACAGAATATACTATAATGTTCCTTAGTCAACACTCCTATTCTCAAACGAATCATTTAAGTAATTCTACCTATACCAAAAAAAATTTTTATTCAAAAACCAATTAATGGTTGTAGGAGTTGAGGGGAGATAAATGTGGGGCGTTCTTGTTTTATGGGGACATAGGTTCAGTCTGGGGTGATGAAAAAGTTCTGGAGATGAATGGTGCTGATGGTTACACAACAGTGAATGTGCTTAATGCCACCAAACTGCATGTATACTTAGAAATCCTTAAAATGGTAAATTTTATATATCTTACCACAATAAGCAATTCTTAATGTGATTAGCCCTAAAAATGAAAACACATACAAGGATAATGTTATTTGTTATAAATTCTAGTTCATCATCTAGGCCAATGGTCGGCAAACTGCGGCTCAGCAAACCGCAGCTCGCGAGCCACATGCGGCTCTTTGGCCCCTGGAGTGTGGCTCTTCCACAAAATACCGGCTCTTCCACAAAATACCGACTTCTGCGCATGGGTCACGAAGTTTCAATTGCACTGAACGTGCGCTCCCACACGTGGTCTTTTGTGGAAGAGCCGCACTGAAGGGGCCAAAGAGCCGCATGTGGCTCGCGAGCCGCGGTTTGCCAACCACGGATCTAGGCGAATAAAAGTCCCCTAAAGCAATGAAGTTAAAAAGAGCACTGAATTACGTGAAGTGAATCATTCACGTACCCAAAACATTTTGTCACTGTTGAAAAGCGCTAGCCATGCGAGGAGGATATACTTATGGAATTTTAGACACACTACACATTTATGGCCAAGACAGCAATAACTATGCATATAGCCATATCTTCATTAGTCAAGTAGTAATAGAAACCATGGTGGCGGTGGGGGGTCAACACGCAATGCAGAATTTAAAACCTTGTTATAGAATGATCAGACTTGGACCCATCTCTAGCAGTAAAAGCGACTAGAATAAAATACCCGTGAGAAAGGAGACTGTATTTTTCACCCCCCCACGCATTCTCCCTTACCCCAGAAAATTGGGCCGGTTTCTGTTTGCTTACCACCAGTCCTAGGACGAGGGTGCGGACTCTCTCTCCTATCTCTGGTGAAATGTCATTGCCAAACTGCTGCAGGGTAGTAAGGAACCGTTTCAGTTTACTGAGTTGCCTGGCGCCACAGGCTGGGGGCAGCTGTTGATTAGCCAGAGAAGAAGAGGAAGAAGAGGAAGGCCCATTGCTAAAGCCATTGGGCGGCGAGGGGGCACCATTCAAGGCTGTGGGTGAATGGCTTGTGCCATTAGTTACTGTCAAGAGCACAAAATCAGAGAGAAAAGGTAAACGTATAGAGAAATGCACAAGAAAATTACAACCAAGTTTCCTTCCCTTTAAGTCTAGTGAATTTTTTTTAAAAAAAACTGCTAGATACAATATTATATTCATTTCAGGTGTAGAACCCAGTGATCAGACATTATATAACTTACAAAATGATCACCCCCAGTAAAACTAGTGCCCATCTGACACCATACAAAGTTACTGCAATATTACTGACTACATCCCTTACATTGTAATTGAAAAAATTTTAAAAGAAATTATTTAAAGTTAAAAATAAATACAACCGGCGTGGCTCAGTGGTTGAGCATCGAGCTATGAACCAGGAGGTCACAGTTCGATTCCCCGTCAGGGCACTGCCCAGCCCCAGTAGGGGGCGTGCAAGAGGCAGCTGATCAATGATTCTCATCACTGATGTTTCTCTCTCTCCCTCTCCCTTCCTCTCTGAAATCAATAAAAATGTTAAAAACAAACAAAAAGACTGTCGGAGCTTTTTTGTAAAATGCTTTGACTTTACAGGCTCACACCGGTTCAGGTATTCTATAATTAAATGGGTCTACTCCTCACACTGCACGAGGGTTTTCTGCACAGAAGCTGATTATAAATGGAGTCGGCTGTAGCACAGAGACAGCCCTGCCGCCAATGTGCGCATATGCCAACCACCTGAAATGTTTCCAACACAGAGCAAACAACACTTGGATGTCAGCCTTTGGTCACCAGCTTACATCAGTGTAGCAGGACTATTTCTTTCTCAGCTGCTCCCCTCCTAGAGAAAGTGTACATTTGGTGGAGACTAAATTTATCACGGGAGATTTTTAATCATGTTTTATACACACAAGCTGACAGCTATGTTTATAAAATTTGGACTTTCAAGCTTTAACCTTACAACCACCCAATGAGAAGGCTATTTTCTTCCCCTCATATTTCTTAACCCCTTCTTTAGGGAAAAGCCAAAATAGATATGATAACTATAAGGGAGTTATTTTTCAAGAAATTCAAAAGGTACATATCTATCCCATTAATAATAGTTGGCGGTAATCCGGTAAATTCATTTCTGATTATATTTAGTTGAACATCAAGATGATAATCGATAACTTGGAGACTAGAAAGATTTGCACATTTCTCCCTGAGGAAAATGTTGATTTTACGTTAAGTCAATTAATTTGACAAACTGATTTTTCCCAAACACATTTTTAAATATAATTTTGATAAACTATTCCCAACAATAGTTTGAAGATATTTTAAGTACTCTATTATTCTTTAAAAAAATAAAAAAAAAAGGTCTCTTGTCCTACATGAGTACCAAAGCAACCTGTCAAGAAATGACAGCTCACTAGGACTTCTCACGGGAGACATATGCCTATCACTATGGTTTTGGATAACAACAAAACAAATACAAGATGACAGGGTTACAACTTGGCACTGCTGCGGCCTCCTGCTCCTTACACGTTTGGAAAGGCCTTTCAAATGGCACTGCAACTCTGCATACACAGTCTGGGCTGTGTGTTTTGTCCATCCTTGTCAATCCCATGAACCTATTCTTGCCTGTTATTTTTTATGCATGTAGATTTAATGGCACATCATCTATACGTACTATTATCTGCAGTAGATAGCTTTTTTTTTTCTTTGCTTTTTTTTCACAAATCCTTGACAACAATTTTAACCAAGACTTTGAGACAGATGAAAACAAAGCTACCTGCTATCCCTACTACAATATACAGGAAAGAAAGGAAAGTTGAGATTCTGTCAGAATATTCCATCCTTTCCTGCATGACACAGAAAGCAGTACTCTCCACTGATTCAGAACAGGGGACCTGAGCCAAGATGGAATATAGTCTGACAGTTTCATGCACAGTGGACAGAGCATCAGTCTGCGGACTGAAGGGTCCCGGGTTCGATTCCAGTGAAGGGCACATGCCTGGGTTGCAGGCTCAATCCCCAATGTGGGGCGTGCCGGAGACAGCTGATCAATGATTCTCTCTCATCATTGATGTTTCTTGCTCTCTCCCTCTCCCTTCCTCTCTGAAATTAATAAAACTATGTTTAAAAAATAAATAAGCCTGACAGTTTCAGGACAAGAAAGATGTTCCTTATTTCAGAAAGATTTCTGTATACAACTGTTGTATAGTCATTTTGTGTGTGTCTAAACATTACATTTTAAACATAAATCCTAAAAATGTTAGATTTTAAAATGATTTGTAAATAATAGAAGAAAACAGTATTAGAAGATCAGATGTAACCTGAATTATTACATGTTCCAAGTCAAAATGAACAGACTACAGTAAGAAGCTCCACATTAAGTCAAATTAAAAGTTACAGTGGTAACATCTCGAGTTATAGACCAAACGTAGTGTTCTTCACTCGCGGAGATGTTAGTAAAATACATTTCTGAAGCAAGCACAAAAGACAGGCAAATACTGCCATCCCTACAAATTATACCTATGATACAACGCATCTGTACTCGATACCTCCCTGGAAAATAAATGATTTTTGTTTTGCTTCATTTCTGCATAATTCATTGATGCAGGATCTTCTTTTAAGTTTTACTTGCAGAAAAACTTTCAAACTTTAAAACGAAAATGCCTACTCACACGTTGTTGGTGTAAATGAACTGGTTCTCGGGGCTCCTTGAGTTGTCGGGGGAGGTGGCATCGTGGGAGGAGTCAGCCTGGACGGAGTCTTCACATCCACAGGTGAGTCTGGCATCGTGGAGTGTTTCTCAGTCCGATCTGGAGGGTGCCACCGGGAACATGTTACTTTCTCAAGCACCTCAGTGTTCTAAGTGGGGGATTCACCGTTTTTACAAGCGAGTAAACACAAGAGACCCATCATCTTCTATCCATCAAACAAGGCTCATCTACTGACGTTGAAATCAGACTTTTATCATCCAGACCCCACTGACGTGGGTGGGTGCAGCACAGATGACAGGGCCTCGTTTGTAACTGGGTGACTTTACATACTATCGTTATTTCTAGGGTGGGCAAATGCTCCCTTGTTAGTGTTATAAACAAGAGCGCAACTTCACTCAAGGCAGGAGCCAACATTCGCAAGAGGTAAAAAATAGATGGGGAAGACAGCAATGAACCCCTCCGACCGCTTCGAAATAACACCCATATAAAGTTCTGTGATGTAGATGAAATACTGGTCGGAGCCAGCGATATTCATAACACCGCTCACCCCCTTTCCATACTGGGTTTCCCGGCCTGTTGGATGACACAGAGTATGTCTCCACCACACAGACCTCACATCAATGTCTTCTGCCCCGTTTGGAAAATCACCGCTCCCTCAATGGCACATGTCACACGACGTTACGCTGTTATTCACTTAGACTTTGTGAGTTTACGACCCACCACTTCAAAAACATGAGGCCAATATTTCAATTAACAATCTCAGGTAGAGTAAGAATAAAAAAGTCCCACATTGAGAATTAAAAAGAACTGAAGACCTTCCATATGTTTTTCCTGAGCAGGTGACAGACATGGAGAAGTTTTCTGATTACCCAATAATGAGCATTTGCTCGGGCCTGTTTTCTACTAAGTATACTCTTCTCTTGAAATGTTAAACTTTTCTTCCTCAGTCTAATCTCTTTATCAAATCTCCAGTAAAAAAAAAAAAAAAATATATATATATATAGAAGTTTCTGTTTGTTTCTTTAGATCCAATTTTCCTCAAACATGTGTAGAGATGTTCACACACACACACACACACACACATACACACACGTACACACACATACATACAAACATGTTTAATGCTTAAGGCACCCTTTTCAGCCTTAGATACAGATATTTCGCACTCTATGAGTTTTTGAAAAGTAAAATAACACAGACTATTGGTAAAGAACGGGTCTTTAAAAATATTATAACCATATGGGTACAAACTTAATGACTCAAAATAACTGAAAAGTCAATTACTAAAAGAAAATGAAAAGCCCAAATTACTACTCTGACGATTCTAAAACTACCTCCCCTTTATTCACAGCAGATTCCTAAGACTCGAGTTGCCATAGGACACAATATTTAAATGTTGAAATTATGTTAATGCCATGCTGGGGGAGGTGTAATAAAAGAAAGACCATCATCATCATCATCATCATCATCCTCCTCCTCCTCCTCTTCATCGTTCTCAGAAGAGCCCTCTGACAGAGGATCTACCTGGTTAGTAGTATCAGGGCCTCTGGTTGAGTAACGATGAATGTTGCTGTAGTGAATGAGTGCTCTGAGTGAGGTGATGGCAAAGACACCGGTGGAGAGCACTCCCACCTTTCTCTTACTGCTAAAAATAGCCTTCATGTTGCTTTTCCACATTATTTAAAAACCAGTATCAGTAACCCTAGCCGGTGGTGCTCAGTGGTTAGAGTGATGGCCTGTGCACCCCCCGGATGGTCGCAGGTCCCATTCTCAGTTAGGTTAAGGGCATGTACCTAGGTTACAGGTTTCCTACCTAGCCCCAGTCAGGGCACATGCGGGAGGCAACCAATTGATGTATCCCTCTCACATGGATGTTTCTCTCTTCTCTCTCTTCTCTCTCTCTCTCTCTCTCTCTCTCTCTCTCTCTCTCTCTCTCTCTCTCTCTTCTCTCTTCTCTCTCTCCCCCTCCCCCCTTCGCTCTTCCTCTACCTCCCTTTCACTCTCTAAAAATCAATAGAAAAAAACATCCTGAGGCGAGGATTCACAAACAAGCAAGAAAAGGCTCAGTAAATCAATTATTCTAGAACAATACAGAAGTTAGGCAGGTTTAGAACCACTTCTTTACTAGTTAAATTCATTACACAGCCTACTCACCTCAACCAACCTCAGCAACAGGGACTACACAGCTTCCTGCTTATGTTGCAGCTGAGGGAAAAGGTGCAGCAGCAAATACGAGTCACCCTAAATAAAGGCAACTATTCCTGTTATGCCCAGGAAGGGGGGATAAGGGGGGCCGGCCAGAGTCAGCTGGGAGATAACAGTGGGAACTGCTGGCCCATCTGGTTTTCATTCTGCTAACACTCACGCTGAACTGTTAGAGAAGCCAGGCCAGACACACAAGGGAAGCACAGCCGGAGAAAGGAGGAGCAGGAGGGGGGGGAGTGGGGGAGCGGGAATAATGAAAAAGTCAAGTAGTGAAAGGAAAGGAGAAGAAAGAGAGGGAAGACCCAAACAGGGAGGAAAGAGCCCAAAGAGGGAGAAACATGGACAGCCCTGGACAACTTCGTTTACCTCCAGAGCTAAAAGCCAAGCCTTAAGGACACACACCCCACCTTACTTAACTTGACCTGATTCTTGAGCAATGCCTACGCTTGAAAACATACCTTAAACCCATATTTTTTATTTTTTTAATAAGAAAAAAAGAGAAATAAACTACAAAGATGACAATGGGTTTCCTTTCCAAACTTTAGAGACTCTTTGTCATTCTGAATTCATCTGTCCAGTGTTGGGAAAAACTGATATGTCATAATTTTTATTTGAAAACGTTTTGATGATGTGTCTTGGTCCGTATTTGCAACATAACTCTCTCCAGGAGATCATCATTGTCATCAAAGGTAGGCAAATGATTTTAAATTCTTGAAATGCCATCCATATTTTAGGAACAATAACAAGCAAGCCAATGCATAGCAAATCGCCACAACTTCTAACGGGAACGTATGCATTCGAACCGGAATCCATGTGGAGCTCTAAGCATTTGACATGAGCCAAATTTCTGAGATGGTTCGCTTTACTCTGATCAAATGGAGTTCCAACCCAGAGGTCCTACAAACTTAGACAAAGTGGGAGCATATGGAACTCATTCCGGGCTGTTCGGTGCAATCAGGCCAGGATGGAGATAGATGGTGAAATAACCAGTCAGGCCTAACCCTTACACACACACAGAACTCTCTGGAGTCAAAAGATTTCAAATAAATTCAGAAAATGTGTTTCAAGTATGCTGAGTTCTGTTGCATTTGTTTTGAATTAAAAAAACATTCTGAAATATATATGCTTGTAATTTTTATAGCAAACAGTAAAAAAAAGCTGACTTAACCACAGAAGCATTTCACTCCATTTCAAATTAGAAGATATACTAAAACCAATATTGTTGTAATGTTTCGTGTGTAGTTTTGAAGTGCATGAAAGTATATTGTTCTTGTGCGTAATTTCTATTTTTGGTTGCTGTAGGAGAATGCTGACATTTATTGAAGGATTGTTTTCTACTAAGTATTTTCTTCTCTTGAAATTTTACACTTTTTTTCCCCTCAAGCTAATAATCTCTTTATCAAATGATAAAAGAAAAACAATTTCTATCAGATCGGCAAGTATGTATAATCAAAAGAACTGACTTCACTTTTACCTTAATGATTCACACCACTTCTAAACAAGATTTTCCATATGTGGTTATTTCAACCCATATGGCATCTATCCAACACATATGTACTAAAGATGGCCGATGCATAGAAGAAAGTGTGGCATATATAAATACATTACGGATACCATTTCAATGTCAGGGTCTTCTAGAAGTGGTATGTTTTCCATTTCCTTTTTTTTTTTTTTTTTTTTTAAGTAAAAGGGAAAAGGTATGTCATAATCTACCCTGACACTTATTTTACTTTTAGTTAGTTCAAATAGTTCCAGACATGTTTTTAAAGTATAAAGAATAGGCATTCTACATTTCCCTTGTTTACATACCACTCAAGAGATGATTAGTGTGAAAAGACAGAAAGTTCAGTATTGGTAGATTGTATATCTTTTTCCATCAGAGTTTGTTATGTCAATTAGGATATCTATGCCTCAGGGGTGTTATGGATTGAGGAACTTCTTGGTCAGCTAGTAGGTAGTCCAGAGTTAGTCCTATTGGAGTAAGTGTTAGTTAAGAAAGCTAGAAGGTATGCACTAAAGAGGATGAATCCCAAGTGGACCAAAACACTACTAAATGAAAAAGAGAAGACAATTAGGGGAGAAAAACACTGGGTGTAGAATTTCATTTTTATTTCTCCAGAAAATATGGTAAACATAGTTCTGACACTACAGTCATTTAGCGACTCCAGTGTTTGGGTGTGAGATATTCCAAGAGACTAATGGAGACCAGATGGTGGCCAGCCAGGCCCCACAATGATGCCATCTCATTTCCCTGAGAGCACTCCTGGTAATGTTCATTCCTGCTCAGAACCCTTCACAAAACAATGCCTGAGGATAAAAGGGAAGTGCTAACATTTTAAACATGGCAAAGTTATAAAGTGGGAGAATATCTGGCATAATAGGAGAATTGCTAGGTTTCAAGTGTAGACTCAACAATTAGTAGTGAGGCCTCAGGCAAGGTAGTTATCCTGAACCTCAATCCCTCATAAGAAGAATGGGAATACAGCCTGGCTGGAGTGGCTTCGGTGGCTGAGCATCATCCTGTGCACCCAAAGGTTGCTGGTTCGATTCCCGATTAGGACATACACAGATTACAGATTCAATTCCCAGTCAGGGCATGTACGAAATGTTACGGAAGGCAGCCGATTGATGTTCTCTCTCTCGTCCTCTAAACTAGTTCTCAGATAAGGATTAGCACGCGCGCGCGCGCGCACACACACACACACACACACACACACACACGAAAAAAGAAAGAATAGAAATACACCCCTCTCTACCTCTTCAAGAGGTAGTACAGTGTCCAACTTGTGTGAGCTTCATTCCCTTGTGTCTTCCTCTCTGTGATCCATTCACAGCTTTATTTCCAATGTCTTTCCCCTGACACTATGCTCCATTTGTATGCACCTTGGTATTCC